TGGCTTTTCATCATACAGTTTACAAGTCTACGAGATTAAAGAGATTCAGCGGTTTCTCTTGTAATTTTAATCAAGGACATTGTGAAATGTATCGATTACGCGCTAAACACATAATGAATACATCCTACTCGTTTCCCGTCCTTTTAGATTGAATTTTTTTTAGAACGTTAGTGTTTCGAAGATCTATTTTGCGTGTGCGTGCGTTTATGTATGTATGTGTGGTCTTGTCTGTGTGTGTGTGTGTTAGGATGTGTGTGTAAGGGTGTGTGTGTGTGCGTGTGTGTGTGGGGGATACGAAGATAAAATTTACAAGCTGTAATCAGTAGACTATATATAAGCATCGACGAAACTAAGAAAACGTTTTTGAGTTCCCTGGGTCCTCTAGTAAAAGACACAGAGGAAAATCGAATATCCTTCATTTATTCCTACTTATACCTGCGAAAGCAATATTTGATGATAGGAACTGTGGGACATAGCTCTGTGAAATAGCGTTTTGCATCAAATGAATTACTGTAAGTGCTATGCCTTTTCAAATTGACGGATTCCTCGAAGTTCTCCTCCAAACGTGTTGTAACCACTAGTGAGTTAGTTCCATATCACTAACCTAACATAAATATTCAATCAACACGTACATAGGCACAGGTACACTTTTCTACTTTCAAAGTAGGTACGTGTTCAATCGACATTAGATGAAAAACAACGCTTAAGTAAATTATTCAGCAAACCGTAAAACAGAATTCATGGAGAATAGAAATCTATTTTGGAAAACTATCGATTGCCTTACCAGATCAAACACGACCTGAATGAATAGTCAAGAATCCATGACTTACTTATAGGCGTTTCCCTGAGGGTTGATATTAGTTGGAAAATGTCAACCGTTTAACATATAAACTAATAATGCAAAGTTAAAAAAAGACGAAGTGATTATAGTACATATTTTGTATATGATCACTATCTCTCTGTATCAATTTCTTTTTCCCTTTGAACAAAATTTCAATTAATGATAGATTTTCGTCATATTATGTACAAAAGAAAGGACGTTTTGATTTGGGGCATTTATTCTAGGGATTGCACACAAAAAAAAAACATTAGTGACTTTTAACAACTTTTAAGACAACTTCAAAATTAGATACAATATTGACATATATTGCATGAAACTGTATAATACCACTATTTCAGCCTTCCAGGACTCGTAAACGATGCTAAGGACCTAAAGTATTAAAACCTAGAAGGCGCCTGAGGGAAATCATTATTAGTCGAAATAATGGTTAAACACCAGATGAAATTCGATATCTTCTATAAATTGTAATATTGGGTAATTTCAAACGTATGTCTAGTACACTGGTATATTCTGAATCTTGTCACCATTCGAATGGATTTAAACACGGCATGCAGGTTACGGCTGCTAACCTCTTGCAACAAAGTGACTTATTATTTTCTGATGTGGAGATACAAAAATATACATTGTATACTCGAAACTACATCAAGAGGTGAACTCTCATAATAGTAAGAATCTCATACTCATTTGGAAAATTTCTTGTTCGGTGTTGCTGGTGAATATATCATTGACGCTCTCTGGTATGTGTCGTGATTTCGTTCTTCTCTCACACGAGAACGTGAAATCGGTTTTATTTGGTTTGACCACTTTTTATATAACCGGTGTCGTCGACGAAGAAAATTAATCTTTCGGGACACCATGTAATTGCCTTGGTACTTTTTCAATGGTCTTCGAGTTAATATTTCTTTTGCTTTATCGATCTCAACGATGTATCACGAATGTATTGCTTTGCAGTTAGGACAAACCATTGCTAATCAAGACATAAAACATGAAGTTTACGCGTTCTCATTTAAAAGTTATATTTAGGCATATATGAAATCCTGTGTTACGAATTTGTCCGTCAACTGACGCCTCCTTGCACGAAAATCGTGATGATGTAAACAGGCCCTTGAAGAGGTAATCAGTTGCGACATGTAAACACTAAAATTTGGGATACAGGCAAACTATACTGATATCCCTAAAATTATTTTAGTTTTCTTACGTAATAATGCTCATCCAATGATATCACATGCTCAACATGCACAAACGGAATGCTTAAAATGGATGTAATGGCAAATAAAACCAACAAGAATTATAAATTCATAATCATAAATTATAAATGGCATCCAACTCGTCACTTTAGCGGCGTCAGAACTGTGATCAAATTAACGGCGAGAGTTTGCTCTTAAAATGGCTGCTCCATTTGATTACATTATCGATAATGAGCTTTATATTCTAATTTTAATCAAGCTGTAACAGTATAAAACACCGTATGTTTCGTATCTTAAGAATGAAACATAAGCCTTGATTACGGAAGAAATAACGATAAATTTTTGCCGGTAAACGAGTCGTACTGCGTGCTTTTAATTCTTTCTTTACAGTTTGACAGTAATATATATTTTTCTGAAACGCAACGAGACTATTTCAAACTTTATAAAAGTTTCTTATATATTCCGATGTCTTTCTGAAGAAGATCTTATATGTAAGTGTCATCCAGTAGCTACTAGCCGACACCTTTTCTTTGTTTCGTTAAGCCTTTTCTTTTATATTGGGTTTCCTCTCTTCAGAACAATGTTTTTTTACTCTCCCAGTTTCAATCTAGCATTCTACTAGTTGCTATATAACAGTTGATTGAATTAAGTCGATCATAATTGATTTAATTTCACCTATCACTTACTTAATTTTTATCTTTAGCATTGTTCCTGAAAGATGAAAACACTTTAGTTAATCTATTGCATAAGCCCTATCATAAGATTACATGTTTAACTAAACAGGAGACTACTAGTAGTCGTAAAACTTGCTTTCTTATATTGTAAAAACATCAAACAAAAAATGCAATATTAAATTCAGTTTTAATTCAGGCTGTGTGTCTGAGACGTTTTGGTGCAAACACAAGTTAAATTCAAACAAAAATAACGGTTTTAATATAAAAAGAGGATTATAGTTCAAGATGCCTTAAATCGTATTACCTGTTTCCTGTCTCCGTCTTTGACATGAAATTGTCACTTTAAATTACCTTAAAATATTCGTCAGTATTGAAATTTTTAAAATATTAAATCACAAAATATTGATGCGATTTACAAATACAATGAAAAACACTACTCAAGGATGAACTGGTAATCTATTTTCTTAAATATCTGCAGTTTGATTAAATAACATACTATGTATAATCTAGTATGACAAACTAACGATACATTGCTGAACCTTAAATCACTGTGACTTCGGTCCACTTGTTTCGATATCATAACAAAAAGTTTAAATGTGACGTAAGGTAAGTTAATATGCTTACGTTTATTGTTAATATGACCACAGCCACTCGGGTCCTGTTATCCACACAATCTTTAGATATAATAATATCATTAGATTATGCAAGAGAGCAAAATGAAGAAAAAAGGCAAGTCATACACTCCTTTGAAGGTGTTTGTTTACGTTTTGTTAATTGAGATTGTCTCTGTGTGTGTCCGACCAATTCGGATCTTGCTTCCTTAGCTTAATCATCCGTGAAGGTCGAAATGAATTGGCTTAATTCCATAAATTTAAAAAAGAAATCCACGAACTTTTATTCAACTAGTATATCTGCACACCGATAATTCGAACGAAAAGTGCAATATTTCTGTACAATCTGTAAATAGATATTAATTTTGAAATTTTCTCGTCGAATCATTAAGTTAACAAAACTTAATAAACCTGAACTCAGGGTAGGGTAGGAAACAACATATTAAATGTAATTTCAAGTTTCATGTTTTATGAAGTGGTTAATGATATATTATACTGTCACTTACACTATTTTAAAGTCACTGATAAAATCATTTAATAGTCACCACACATTTACGTAGACCGCATCTGTAAGGAGACTTAAAAAGCACAATTGTGTGGGTTGAATGGCCTGCTTTCCTCAAAGAGAATAAATCTGGAGTTGACACATGGACAATGAAACGTACAACCATCCTCAGCTGGATGCTTCCAACTCCTGGCGTCTCATTTATTCTTATTATGGTGACGCCAAGTCCCACCTTTTACAGGAAATGGAATTATAACTGTTGATGGAATCAATGGATCTTAAACAAAGAAAGCCGAATTAGTTGTGGTAAAAAATCCCGGGGTTTAAAGTCGGTTATTGTAGCATAACTAATACTGTTTAAGTCCATAACATGATTCTCTTCTTCCTGACATTGTCAAAGTAATTACTTATTGAAAATTAAAATGTCATTATACCCCATCATTTTGGCCTCTCAAAACTGTAAATGTTTCGTTTTTTCGTTGGTTAAAATTGTCGTGGTTTTACCAAAATATTTTAACGAGAGTCATGAAATAGACTACAATTTTCCTTATTAGTTCTAATCTCAAGGTATATCTATTCTCGATTCATTCCTGTTTCAGACACAACGAGACAAATTTTTATATAAATATTCTTTTCTCAAACGTACAATGAGATAAAAACCCTCAGACAATACCAGAGCTTTCGTATGAATTTTGCAAAAAACAATGCTGTCCTTTCCCACAGTTATCAGTCTGATATACCGGAGGCAACTTGTTTTGTAATACTCTGGTGATGATCTAGGTATTCCAATGAGAGTAACGTGGATCTGTTTTTCTACTAATAATCTGATAGTCAAACCTACAGCTCTTAAAATAGCAATCATCGCAGATTTCTGGAGATACGTATTTTATACCAATAAACTTAAAAGTTTTTTCGTAAGGAGTAAGTTTAATGGGATAGCTTAGACGTACCGAGTGTCTCTCACTTTCAAATATTGTGTAGCTCTTGCACAGTGCTTCTGTTTAATGATGACATAGATGTGGAAGAAAGAAACGAATGTAAGATGGAGTTTAATTCCATTTTGCTTTAACATATTTACGTTTAAATTTGTTTACAACCTTTCGTACCTGTTTGTTAGATACATGATAAATCGTATATTGAAGATATCGTATACATGTACTTTTTTATTTTTCCAGATTCACAATGCCGTTTCTGAGTTATGAGATCGCACAGATGACGAATCTAATTGCCACACTATTGCTTCTTTTTGGGACGGTAGAAATAGAGAGCAGAGGTAAGAGGTATACGGACTTACTGTGTCTGCAGTAATAGATAACAGAGACAAGTGTTATTTTGACTGATTGGGGGTTCGGTAATAGATAACAGAGACAAGTGTTATTTTGACTGTTGGATTGTAGAGACAGAGAACAGAGGTAAGTGCTGGTTTGGCATATAGGGACAAAAGTAAGTGTTGTTTTGACTGACTTGGAATTGGATAGAGGAGTTATCTTGACTGATTTTAACTATAGAGATAGTGAGCAGAGGTATATGATATTTTGACTTATTGGACTATATGATAGAGACGAGAGGAGGTAAGTATTAGGTTTTGCCTGCAGATAAGGCGTCTTATGTCTGCAGACATTTTAATTCTTGTATACAAAAAGATGTAGGCTTGCTTGACAACGAAGGAAATCTCACCTTTACATTATGTACTCTTCCCAGAGAAGAAATACTGGCTAATCATTCATCAGTACTACAATAATTTAGATTGCCTGTCTATAAGGATACGGACCTCCCTCGTTTATACTGGATTCTTTACTTTCAAAACAATCATATAAACAACGGCTCATCGAACTGTCAAAGTAGACCTTTGCCAAAACTACTGACTACCATCCTTAGTGCTATTAAACCTAGGTTAGAGTCTTTTGATATACTGTTCACTTATTTTAATCTATGTGGATTTTAAATTACTCCATAGTATTTCTTCTATACGAACAGTTGTCTCTCCCACTTTATACAACACCACATGCCATTCTGAACTTAAAGTATGACTTTGTTCTCTTGTTATGAGAGCTCTCTTCAAAAAATATAGACTGCGGTATAAATATATGTTTGTGGACTATATTGAAGCGTAAAAATCAAAAATCAAAGAAGAGATAAACGAAGGACGAAATCATAAAAATAATCGAGTTCCTGGTTGGCAACATCTTCGTCGAAATTGGTGGTAAGATATGCCAACAGACTTTAGACTTACATATGGGACCTAACTGCGCCTTGCTGTTGACTGATTTGTTTTTTGGTTTCATATGAGGCTGAATTTATAGACGAGCTTACCAAAACAGGTAATAAACAGCTTGCAAAGTCGTTTAATTCGTATAGTTTGTAGACGTTTTGTCTTTAAATAACAAGAACTTTATTGACCACGTCCATCAAAGACACAAGACTCTCCTACATCAGCCGTTTATCTCAATCTTTTCCTGTTCTATTATCACGATTTCCGTGCAAGAAGTCGTCAACTGAGGGACAAACTCGTACGCAGGTTGATAAAAATTATGGGGAGGTTTTACGATCGTCATAGTGATCTCTTTGAGAAATATTATATTCTTTTGTTCTCATCTGAGAACCCAACATTACATATTATGAATGACCAAGATTTACATTGCGGGTATAACCAATAAAGCAAATAACGCTTACCCTTCTGGAACACGTGGTCTTATTCTCTTTAATTTTTTCAGGAGTAACCATGTTGTTCATATTTTACTCTAGTTTTTTTAGTTTGCGTTCTGATTATGATGACTTGACATGTTGGTATGTGTTTTTCTTTTTAATTTGAATGGGACGGTAGAGATTGAGAGGAGAGGTAAGTGTTAGATTGATTGTTGGGACGATAGATATAGAAAGAATACTACTAAGTTTGAGTAGGCAGGTTGTAGCGAATGCGATGTTCAAACTTTTAGAATACAATTTGCAGAATATCTGGCGTGGTCAAAATGAAAAAAAAATATAGCTTCAAGGAATTTGAACGAATGTAAAATTCTGTTCATCATGTTCCTTGAAGAAATTAGCAAGAATTTGTTTAAATACCCTTTAATTAAAGAAAAAACCGAATTTGACGATATTCTAATACTTTGTCATGAAGTTATAACGTCATCATCAAAACAACTGAAACTGTTAGCCGTAAATAGGGTGAGAAGCTGGACGTATTTGATGCTCATTAGTTTGGCTGTTGGTGCTGTCGTTGTATACTTTATTTCCTTTTGAGAACGTGCATCAATAATAATGATTGACCAAGGTTTACTTGGCGCACTTAATCTTATGGAATGCCTGGTCTTTTCTCCTTGTATTTTTTCAGGAGTCTCTTATATTTTTCTTGTTCATATTTCGCTCTAGTTTATTGAATTTGAGTTTGGATTATAATTATGTTGGTGTTTTCTTATTTTTTTTTTATCAAACGCGTGGTCATATAAAAATTTATATAGTAGATGTTATTGCTCTAAAATCATCGACAAGCACTCATATCAAATAACTTTGGTCAAAAAGTGCTCACTGCTTCAAAAGAATCCCATGAAGCTAAATCGATTTCCTATTCTCCCATTCTTGTCCCAATCCACATTATTGTGTTTTCATATTATCTACACTGGAATCCATGTATATTCCAACAGCGTGATATTGCAGCAAACATTTACTTTCATCAATCAGATCAATACTAACATAGTACTTGTGAACACTCTCGCGAGATAAACAATCAGTTTGTGCGCATGAGAATAAAACTGTGATAGAAAGATTACGAAAAAAATATTCACACGCCTTTAACGAGTCAATACCAACTTACATAGAAATTATCAATTATTTTTTCGTAAGAACCATTTGTAAAACGTCAAAGCTAAATATTTTATTATAAAAGTGTCTATTTTACATTTCATTTCACGATAATTTGTGAAAACTTATTAATTACACAACATACTAAGCCCAAGATTGGTTAGTGATTTGAAATAATCTTCATCTAGGTCTGGCGTCATTTTCAACAGCTTTGGTTGCATGTATAGTCGGCACATATCGTGCTAGAGTCATAATCAGTTATGTCACCTTGTTAGCGACGACATGTCTTTGCCGTCAGCACATGAACCATGTCGCCATTTGCTCTAGCGGATATATAAAAGAATATCAGCTTATTGAGAGAATTCACTAAACACGATTTACGTAATATTAGCGTGTGATGGAGATGAAAAGCGAATGCAGACGTTAAGTTGATTAAAGGCGGTCTTTAGTAAGATACTCTTTATCTGTATTTCGAGCTGGAGACAAATAATAACATAGACTCGACCTTGATGTAGCAATTAAGACCATTGTTTAATTCTACACTTTTTGATTAAACATGAATGTCTTTTTATGTATATACCCATTTTGATAGAAGGTAGTTAAAAATGCACAGACACAAATAGTAACAGCAATCATCGCCTATCACCTGAACACCAATCACAAGCCGGTGAATCATAAAGTTAAATAGTGACATGACCTTGAGAACGCATGAATCGTTTTAATATCATTCAGAAATGATTGTTTTCACAAAATTAAACACACTCATAAATCTAGAAGAAATGTGTTTGAGGATTTGAAATAACACCCACTTAAATAAAAAAAGGGATTAAGTTTTTTTTTAATTAACCTCTACTGATTGTATAGGGACAAGTCCCCCAAACTGCCCCTGTAGTCATTAAGGATGCTTATGGTGGCCATTTTATAAAATCAGAAAATGGATGTAATAATTGTATTTACGATGATGTTATATACCTAGATGCTAACATACTTCGACAATATTATCAATTCTGATAAATGAGATCGATGATTTTAAGTTTCCGAAGCAGCAGACGCTTACTCTTCCGGAACATCTGGTCTTATTCTCCTTGAACTTCTCAGTAGCCTCGGTGTAAATCTCTCTTTTAAGACCTCCAGAAAGATTTTGATAAAATGGTTGACAAATTTGACCCAATTTCGAAATGATGCCGATACCTGATTTAAATTACACGTAGCATGAATGAGTATGAAAAACACTGGCCGGAGTTCGTACTAGAGAACATTCGGCCTGTGGCCAAACTTCTGGGGAATTAACACTAGTGAAGCTTGTAAGGCCACTTGTACTCTCAACTAGGACATACATATCAACACCATTCAAGATTGACATCATGATATATTGCATTATGTCGAATAGGTAATTGTCCTTTTGTTCACGACGAATCCTGTAAAAGGGATGGTTAGTTGTGGATTAGAAGGCAAAAACATACACTAAGTAGATTACATGTTAATCCCATACCCAGCAGGTACCTGGACTGGTTTTCGTAAATAATCTAGATCTTTTTAAACACCTGTGGTGTGCTATACGTATATACCTAGACTTGGCCAGCTGTGGTCGATTTAACAAAAGTCGAAACTGCCGTGGTGCATGTTACAAACTGAACTATTTTGTTAGGATTTGTTTCGATGTTATTGCAAACGACATTTAGGTTGGATAAAAACAAGATGTGAGATGAACCGTCAGATTTTAATCTCCAACCCGTATTTGCCTTTCCGGTTTGTTACTTATTGGAAATAAGTCGGATTGAAAAATTAAAAAAAAAACCCTCAGATTTCCTTACATAATCTAGCTGTAAAGATTAAACAAGAGATCTATATGTTCAAATTTAGAATTGGATAATAAAGAGCAAAATAATGCATTAAATTCCATGCTTAGTCCTTGTTGGACTGGTCAGGAAAAGTAAGGCCCTGCATATTTAAATCAGAGAGGCGACTAAGCTCAATAAAAATACTGCAGACATTAACCACATTGTAAGACTTTCCGCTGCTATTCTCCGTTAATCAAACAGTATACAAACAAACATATGTTACTTAAACTTTCGCGTTCCTCAGTTATCACTTTAGGTACGAACGGAGGATTGTTATTAGTAATGGTAAAGAGCACGCACATCATACAGTCGTTATATTGTTAATTTAAAACGAAAACTACATACATTGTCTTCTTCTGGCAGCAACATGATGCAAAGATTAACGTACTGGTGTAAATTTCGAATTCAAACTGAATGTCAGGAAACGGCAGCTGTTACCAAATTGAAGAACTTTTAGTTTTGTTTACATCCGGGATATAAAGACACAAAGAAGGCACTGAGTGACGAGAATGTAGTGAGACGGCCGTACTAGATTTATTTTCAGCGCCCTTGTGTCTGAATAGAAAGTGAATGCTTTTTATTTTCTCACTAACAGATCTGCCAATACAGACAAAATATACTGGAAATGCGAATCAAGTCACGACATCAGTTTTTTAATACCATAACACCTGATCTTATTCAAAACTTCAAATTATCGGAATTGATTATTTGAATTTTGTTCTAGTTTGCAGCGGGATTGATGAACCCGAGTTTCTACATGTTTACAACGTTTGGCAGTTCCGTGGATGTACGAAGATTGACGGAAGCATACGAATTGTTCAGACTACCTTTGATGGGTAAAGCTATATGTGGAATTTTAAATCATTCATAGCTAAAATGAGACGTTCACTGAATAGGATACAGCAAACGTTATGAGAGTTTATTAAACTGCTTTTTTTTCTAAACTAAATAAGGAAAAGACCGGTTTGTGTTTTAACAAATCAATTATATGATACTAATCCAATGTAAAATCATATAAGAATTCCATATTAATAGCACGCTGTTCATTTTAAGTTAATAGTAAACATTTAATTAGATTTCTCAACTTTCTAGATAGAATAAAACAAAACAAATGAAATCGTCTCGATTTTCAATGCTATATCATAGTCAACTTATGTACAATAAAAAAAGAAGAAAAATCTTCTTCTGAAGCATTAAAACCCTCTTTAGAATATCACTGATTACGTTTGTCATTTCAATTGGTATGGAAATGGTACTGGTTATATAATAAGTTGATTCGGACTTTCCAAAGCGGCTCGATAGATGGAGTTAATTTGTTTAACTGGACCAATGTCTTTATATCTGAACCTTCAGACGATCAGATGAACTGCAGCCGTTCCTTTAGTGAAATATGCTTTATGGAAAACATTTATTAACATGAACAGGAAGTTCTTACGGATTTAATGTAATCATCTTACAGAGATGTTTATTACAACCGACCTGGTCTTCATCCCGACGCCCTGTGGGCATTCTCTGAAGTAAGAGAAATCACTGGCTTTCTACTGGTGCAGGGAAAACATCCTCATTTTCGGAATCTGGATTATTTCAGAAATCTGGAGGTTATTCTGGGGAACGAACTGTCTCCAACGTGAGTGAATAATCCAATATGAATGTAAACAGTTTTGTTCAACAGCATTATTCCGATGTTATCGTACAACCCTTTTCTAAGAATCCTATGTACCGCTTGCTATAACAGTATATAATATTGCTCTGCAGAGTTTTCCTTGATGTTTTCTGCTTGGGATCTTTGAAGAAACATCACCATAATAACATTAATTTTGTTATAGATTGCACGTGTTTTAGACATGTCCATGTATGTTTCTATGCTATCCCGATATTCACAGACGATTTCCAATTTCCAGCTTGACCACATCGTTGGCTTGGATTTGAATTTAGCGCTGATAACGCATTTCATTTTGTAAACACCAGCACATGTTAGCGAGCAGAAATGACAGCAACATTAGTGACATTCAGTAAAATCTCATTCTTCAGCACCGGATTTTGTTATGGGTAATGGCAAATGTTATTTGATAACTCTAAATGTTCATATACGGCGCAAAAAAAATGCATAGTCATATTTTCTGTAATTATTGATTAACCTCTTTATTTTCATATTTCACAGAAAAAACGTTTTTTCGTAATGTCGCTTTGAGGCCCTACTTATTTAGTTAAGTGATGCACTCTGGTTTCATCTTGTCCTTCAGGTATTCTTCTACTCTCAACATTATGGTTACCTCCATTGAGTCGCTTGCACTTACCAGCCTTCGAAACATATCCAACGGAAATGTGGTGATTTATGCCAATCCCAACCTTTGTTACGTAAGAGCAGCTAACTTTGATCAAATTGTCCAAAGTGTTGACCAGAAAGTTATCGTGAAATCAAACGCTCCTCGAGGCCAATGTGGTAAGTGTGATGGATTTTTTTTCATGCTATGGACTTTTGAATGCACGATTCTACTTGAATAGAATTTTAAAGACAAATTTAGGGATGGATATAGAGCCAAACAATAAATAAAACTGCATCATAGAACTTATTCATCCACATGTAACTCGTCAGAAATGCTTAATTTTGAGCCTCTGAGCCAACTGCGAGAATCTATTTTTGACTGTGGCACCATTCAAAGGAATTAAAATGTTGCATGCAGGTTGTGGCACATTTCAGGGACTTAAAGTCCACCAGCAGTGCCTACTACCTGCAATCTCCTAGATTGTTCAAAAGGCACAAGTTGGTAGCACCTTTTGAAATCCAAACGATGAATGAAAATGCACCATACAGAAACCGAACGATGAAACAAATTAATTGTCCAATGTAGATAGATCTCGCGATATCCGGCGAGACAAAAGAAACACTTGTTCGAGTTATCTTCCTTACTAAAAAAAGCAGTCGTTATACGAAGTCGAACAGCGACTGGTGATCAGAAATTACCGTCGGTCGCGTTAAGCAGGGGGTCGCTATATAAGGTGCAAATATAAAGTAAATCTCAAGGGCCGGTTCAAATATGGTCGTTATGAGCAGGGGTCGTTATGAAGGCGGTCATTAGGACAGGTTTGACTGTAGTCAGATGATGTATAATGAAGATATAAGTAGGATCTGGGCCTGTTTCCGAGAACGAAAGCATTTCAGAACAGTAACCAGATCCGCTCTACACAGTCAAATAGTTCGTTGATCATAGTAGCAACACCGTTTGTATATTAACCTTTTTGTTTACTAATTCTGTATCTGTCTTTCCACATCTGCATTCTGTTTTTGCTACAGAAATGGCACTTGCAAAACCATTAGAACAAAAAAGAATAGCTAGGCAGCGGTAGAGTATATATTTCTCAGTTCTTTGTTCTCGACCTCATTTGTTCCTAAGGGGAAAAGACATGTTTTACATGTTAAGCCTATGCATTTTAGTCAAGTGGCAATATAGTTTGATCATTGTATTGAAGAGGTCAACAAACATACGACTAAATAAAGATTAGACTTCAATGTGACTACTGGTGTGTTAACCCTGATGTAATGAAAACAACATTAAGTATATCGTTTTAAAATTCCGAAATTGATGTTTGCGAAGTTACAACATGGGTTATCCAGCGCAATTTAAGTGCAAGTATTATTTTTTTGCTGTGATACTACAGCACGTATTTTCAAGAGTTATTGACAAGGATAATGCGTATTAGGGGCTACAATGCCATTTGCTATTATATATTGGTTAACCTAAATAAGTTCGTCGTCTTCTTCAAAACGCTTACTTAAATTTTATCATTAACTTCCATTTCAAAATTAGCTGTTTGCACACTTCGAGCAATTCATTTCATTACTTTCGATTTAGAAATACGTCTGAACCAATCAAACCTTTTACTTAAGAGAAACATTCTGCAAAAGCACTCTAACATCGGAGACATTTTGTGGCATTACCCTCCGTTTATTGGTACGTTCCGACAAACCACTCGATCCTTTCAATGTCAAGATACTTTATGTCTAACTAGTCGAACGTTTAATTTCCAAATATGTTCTGCCAAAACAATCGGAACTTTCCTTTAAGACATAAGTTTGGTCGAATTAACCGAACCTTTCGTTTCAATCCCACTTTTTATTTAAAGACTCGTCCTCTCGAACCACCGAAAACTATCCTTTTCGCAATAAATTCTGTCGTCATATTCGCTAATGAATTACTACATATTCTTAGAGGAACACATGTTCACTTATATATTTTTTTCAACGTTAAAACGTTACATGCGATCATAACACTCATTGACTTGTACTGTTAAAACAGGATGGGCATACCTACCGTAGATGACCATTCGGTTTATTCATCTGACTTCCTGTCTGTTTCAAAATGTCTCACTACACACTATCTATTCTGACCCTACCGTGTATAACCGCTATTTAAAGTGGGTCAAGTAAATTTTGTCCGGATAAAACAATGATTAGGAAAATCAATTTGAAGGCATGCCATTCTTGATAGCGTCCATTAATGGTGCTCTGTCAGATATTTGAATGTCTTACACAATTTATCGATTTCGTTACAGCATTGGGCCACAAGACGTGCAGTTCAAGGTGCGACCGGAGACTGTGCTGGGGAAAAGGAATCCGAAACTGTGTCGGCAACTTCGAGGATTCCAACAATATTATTGACTTTCTGGATAATAACTTTCTTTCAGGATAAGACATGAAAGCTACTTCCGGTTTCCATTTAATCGAAGCTTATGGCAGGAAGTTTATTGCTACTTAGCTCTACTTCTATACAGTTTTGATTTCAGTCACACCAGATTTTGGTTTCACCAAACTGTCTGGAGTTCGGAATGCAAATGAATATTGTCAGTTGAGGTTTTGAAAATCTTCTGCCCACTTTTGTCGAGCAAAGCAACAATTCAAGTTTACTGTATGGCAAGCCAATATCTCGCGTCACATTTCAATCAGAATGGATAAAACGACGTTGATCGATACAAACTGTGATGCTGTTTACATTCCATTATATAGCAACACGACTAACACTTACTTATATATTTTCTGTATATATAAACTACTGGTTTTCATCGATTTAACTTATCCAAAGAGCAGGGCACTTGGCAATTCATTTTATATGGCAATTAACGAACTTTCGTCATGATACAGTTAAAGTGAAGATTGCTTAATAAGATGAACGTATCTGTTTTCGCATCATTTTGTGGAGTGATTAAATTCAAGATATATCTGATATTTGCAGTGTCATGTTTCCTTATTTTTAACCATCAGGATTAAAATGATAAAGATAATTACGACATTTCAACAAAAGCTGAAATAAAACTAAAACAAAGCAAAATATGGACAAAAGACGCTTAGAATCCTAAACAAATCATAAGGACATTAAGAACATTCCATGACAAACGCAAGGTAAATCTTGTTAAGTCATGTCGAGTTCAAAAAATAAAGCAAGATTAAAACAACGGCACAACCTGACAAACTAAAAATCATCAAACAAGTCCATCTCGGTATCGCTCAAGGAAATGTAAAATCCCCAAAAAATATTATTTTGACGACCGTAAATCGGGACAGGGGAGCTGACGGAGGAGGGATGGTTAAAGAACAGATCGCCTATTATCATCTTTCCCTTTCCATATGATATCCGACATTTCTTATAGATGCAGTTTGATTTTTGATGAAATCTGATTTATCATTTCGGCTACAGTTATCTAAATGTTTATTGAAATATCGCGATCATGCGTGTTTATTTTGTACAATTATTCGAGAGCTATGATGACGAAAAGATACGGCTGCGATTATCAAGTATGCGTACCATGTCATCAATCCACCAGATGGCTTATCGAGATTTGACCAAGCCTCTCGTGTGCCAGTTTATCACAACACCCTATAAGCTTAAGAGTCGTAGAATGGTTAGCTTGATGACCAAGATGTCACAAAGTAGAAGCCCAAATTATTCGTCGGTAGATTGGGCAACAGTGCTTAACATAATTTTTGTGGTCACCATCAGCAATGTATTGTCATAGAAAGCTGTGTGTGCTGTTGTGGTCATAATTACGCTAACTACGCATTTATTACAAACTTCATCCGCAACAAATCCTAGAAGCAGCTGTATGGATAAGTGTAATAAAATGGTTAGGAAATCTGCACTATATTACCATAGTAATATATTGGTATTGAAAGGTGTAACTCACTTGTGTGTCCATTCAACAATTCCTTAAAGGTGTTATAAAGTCGTGGAACTTTTAGATATGTTTCCTTGCCTGTAACATGCGAGGTGGCCAGTGCCAATTAAGTATTTTAGCGTCATCTTTGATCCTTCAACGACCATCATGGACTACAAAATTACGTCTTTTCAGAAAAGAAATATCGCGGTGAAGATCAATATCAAATGTAGTTTTTTCCAAAATATTAGAAGTTTTAGCTATTGAATGTGATATTTGCTCTATGTGAAACATATTTCTAGAAAATAAAATATATTTACTGTAAAGTACACAGCTAGTTTCTTAAGGTTCACTCATAGTGGTTGGGATGCTGTTGTGTCTGGTCAATCTTCGATATCCAGACGGCGCTGTATTCCGACAATAACCTACTTACACTGTCGGCAAAGTTTACATTCTTCGCAAAATGTGGATTGTTAATGACGCGTTATCAGTAAAGCTCATGATATAACGCAGCAAATCTTAATGTGAAGTCCCCACAATACAGCAATGAATTGGAAAGAAATTTACTGATTTCATAGGTAAAAGGGAGCTAACTCCATGTATATACTTGTATAAACCATTACGACTATCTGTATTTTTATCATCTTAATTATGAACACTAAATGTAAAAATGTTAAAATAGAAAACCATGCAAACACTTTTATTCAGCTGTTCGACATTCATTAATCAGCTATTATGTAAAAGGACCCGACTAATGATGAAAGTTTCTGTATCAATCTTATTCGGATAAAACAGAAAAGTTCAATCAAGCCTGTTTGATTACAATACTTAATATATTTATATATATATGTGTGTGTGTCATACAGAAGAATACCCGAAAACACACAATGTAAAAATCTTATGTATGTACCTCAATGTGTATTTGTCCTGAAAGTAAACATATTTGTTCAATTAACAAGTACAATAAACGCATACATCTCCAACATCCGATTTTATATTGCATACATATATGTAAAAAATGTTATAAAAATCCTGGCATGAGACATGCATATTTCAGGATGTGAACTGAAAAACTTGATATTACTATGTGAAATAGCAATATCAATAGGAAACGTGTTAAAAATCTAAAGTACATATTTACATTATACATACATGTTAACGTTCAATAGCTGTCAATCTGTTATTAAGAAACATTTACATTGCTACGGAGTCCTCGAGGAAATATAAAATTTGTTTCAAATTTGTAAGTATATACAATAAAATTGTATCAAACGTACATTCACAACTGCCACACACCAGCAATGGCATGTAGACTACACCTTCATCACAATGATTACAAGAGGTTGATGCGATAAACAAATACAAAAACAGGTTTTATATGTGGGTCAAACAACAAAAACGGAATATAAACCTGGCACAGGAAACACATTTCACAATTATCATCATTATTATAATTACATTTTAAAAGGCATTTTCATTAGGGCTATCAACCGGTAAAACACACAGCGATCCAAAAAGGAAATAACACCAAACAAACTAAAATGTACAAGACAAATGCTGAAAATCTTAAATGGGTATATTATCACAAAATATCAAAATGGTAAGTCATAGTCTATTATATAGACCAATAGTTTTCATATTACCTAGAACTTGTAACGTTACGATAAAAAAGTTTCCCGAGTAGACAGAAGATCAATGAAGTCCAATAAAAATGCTCAACGGCGAATAGCTCATCACATCCTATGCACAGATGGTTATCTTTGCCTTTCAACATATACTAAACAAAAAAAGAAAGGTAACACTACTTTATTCTGTGATTAATTAACACGTTTATAAATCCTTACCAATCATGTACGAATTAAGTAATTGATCAATTGTGATAAAACTGCAGTCATCGTTCATTACAAAACTTTGCGTGCAGTTGATTTCATTCGACTGTAAAGGACGTTGGGGTCAATTTTAAAGGTAACACCATTAGTAACGGGTATGGCCACCGTTTGCGAAGTAAACAGCATTGCAGCATCGTCGCATGGAACTCGTTAACCGGCGGATAATTCGAGGAGAGATGTTGTTCCATTCAGTGATCAAGGCTTGGGCCTGCACCTGCAAGTTTGACGGCTGATTTTGACGTTCTCTCACGCGTCGCCCAAGAACGTCCCAGACATGCTCAATCGGTGACAAATCAGGTAATTTAGATGGCCAATCTAACATCTGTACGTTACTCTGCTGCAAGAAAGTTCTGCTGACGCGACTGGTGTGTGCTGGTGCGTTACCCTGTTGAAAAATGGCGTCAACGCCATGGCGTCTTAAGAATGGCAGAACCATTGGTCTTAAAATTTCATCCCGATATCAAATGTCGGTTAAATTGCCATTTAACACAACAAGCCTGGTACGAGTCCCCCCACAAATACCATCCCAAACCATTACACTTCCGCCGCCAAAGCGGTCCCGTTCTGCGACGCAGCAGTTCGCAAAACGCTCCCCTCGTCGCCTCCACACTCTGCGCCTTCCGTCACCGTGTTGCAGAAAAAACCTGGACTCATCTGAAAACAGAACATTGTGCCATTGTCGTAAGGCCCAACGCCGGTGAACACGGGTACAGTTACGCTGATTATTACGGTGACGTCGCAACAAATTGGGTCCAGTGTAGGGACGCCGCGCTTTCAATTGGTAGGCCCTCAACCTGTTGCGGACTGTTTGGGGAGACACACGACGCCCAAACAATGTGTTTGTAGTCTCTACTGCGGTTACGAATCGATTGCGCAAGTGTATCACTCGTATACGACGGTCGTTTTACGGGGTCGGCCGCTTCGGTTGACCCAGTTTGGTTTAAACGACTTACCAACTGGCAAATTGTCTTAACACTGCAACCAAAATGCCGTGCAACTCCCCAGCCTGGATCATGCCTACAGCCCTTTCTCCCTGTACTTGTGACAGCCGGGGCATAATGATAAAGTTGATAGATAGCAAGATTCGATGATTTCTAAGTCCTAAAGATCTAAGGAACAGTTGTCAGTTTGAATGTTTATGAAATTCAAGCGAAGATACAAGTTAGTCGCAGAAAACCTCGTGCAGCTCTTTCGCTAATACAGACTTTCACGCTTGAATGCTTTTGGTAGCCCCATTGGATTTTGTAATGTAAAACATTACCATTTTCTAATATTGCAAAAAGTCATTTTGTTTTCACTCATTTACAGGTATTCGCCAAGGAAACATGTTAACCTTTCCTTTTTGGTCGAGTATATATGAAGGTTTAAGGTATGTATGGCCCATCCGAAGACTGGCAAAGACAACGTCGTCTCGGTGGTTGTCTCTATAGCATGGAGACCATTCACCGATAATAGGTTTTACGGAGAGCATTTTTTTGTTAGTATATAAACTACTTACTAACATATGTAGTATACACAATATACAAAGGACACTATGTGAGTGAACAAAATTAAAAAAAAAACCCAATGAACTCCATATTTCAGTAACATTTAATAAATATACCAAACAGAAAAATCCTAAATCTACTCAAAACAGTATGTGAACATCTTGGAATGTCTTCATAACTTCCATTGAAACTTCATCTAATCTCCTGACAAACCTTGCATTAATCGGTCGGCTATAAAATGTCATCAAACTCTCTGTAATCTGTCTATTCTACGAAGAAAAAAAACAATACTGATTAAATATATGGGCAAATAAAAGACATCAACACATATCAGAAATACTATTCACAAGACATCCTATTCATAAACAAATATATTCAATGCGTATGACAGTAAATGCACGCGACTTTTCATGACCTGTGACCTCTTACCTCTGCCGACACATAGTCTTGCTAGAAACACTACATAATCCTTTGTCAATAAAACATTTGCAGTGAAAAAGCTATAGACTCTCTAAAAGGTCATCGCACTGTGGAAAATAAATGCATCAACCGTTTCCAGATCATTTTGACAAGTATGCAACATAATCCTGATAGATTGTGCAGGATTACGTATGTTTCCATAACCTGATGCAAATACGCTACCCTGTTCTTCAGAATGCAACA